TGGCAGTGCAACACTTAATTAGTGTAGTCATCAGAGTATTCCATGGCTATGGTAGTCTTTCGGGTTGGATCTGGGAGATGAGCTTGATTGCTTGTGCATGGCCCAATGTGATCATGTCTTCCTCGTTGGTTAGTTCATCGTATTTATCTTCCAATTATCAGCTCTTGCGGATGTGCTCTCGTCCACCTTCTCTCATGTTGTAGAGGAGGTGAAGTTATGATTGGATGATCTGGGTCAGTGTAATCTTGATTCGGTTGTGCCTCTGGGGTTTCTTGCGTTGCAGCTTCTTCAAACTGATCATCAGCAGGAGTGGTTGGTTCATGTTCAGCTTCATTTTCTGTGTGCTCATCATCATTCTGAGTAGGAGTGTTGATTTCTTCGGCAGTCGGAGCAGGTAACAGGGGGATCTGAGTGGTTTTAGCATTAGTAGCTGGTGATGCACGTGGTTGGCTGTAGACGTGCTCGAACAGAGAATCCAGAACCACGTGCTCATCCGATCTTGTCTCATCTCTCTGTCCTCCTTCTTCAGAAGATGATTGAACCTCTTTTTCTTCAGTAGCTTTCGGATCAAGCTGCCCCCTAGCATCCTTGTCGTTCATAATGTAGCACTTGCAGCCGAAGACGAGGATGAAGGCAATGTTAGGGAGACGCTTGAACACAATCTCATAGGGCATCTTGTCGAATCGTCTGTGAGTCACCTTCCAGATCTGTGTGAAGCAAGCCGTGATGATAGCTTCAACCCACATGAAATGAGGAAGCTTTGACTGTATCAGCATGGTTCTGGCTGCTTCCACCAAGGTCCTGTTCGATCGTTCTTTGACACCTTTTTGCTTTGGTGTTTGAGTTATAGAGAACCGTTGTGTAATTCCCTGAGTTTCGTGGAACTCGTCAGCTCTTTGTTCTTGAACTCCGTCTCATTATCAATTCTAGTGTTTGGAGCACTTGATGCATGACCCTTTGGTGTTTGTCACCTTGGTGTTGTCAATGGTGGCTTTCAGAATTCTCGCACCAAAGGCATCTCTTGCTTAGTTGAGTGTTCCTTAGAATTGTTGGAGATACACCCCTGGTGCTAAGGCAATTTTTGTTCAGGGCCTTCTAAAATTTTGCGCCTTTGAGAACAACCACCACGACATCCTTGACTTGGCTTGATTGCTACTAGTTCTGCCATAACATCCTTGTGTTGTCTTGCATTGATCCTTGATTTGCGTCAGGAGGAGAGAAAATTGTGACTCCCCCTTAGAATGTGCAAGGTGTTGTTTGTCACTCGGGGAGTAAAGTAGAAAACTCCCCCTTGATATGTGCTTTCTTCGTTGTAAGGCACCAGAAGGAGTGAAAAAGAAACACTCCCCCTCAGAATAAGCACTTGTTGTTTCTTCTTGGCATGTGTTGGTGTTGAGGTGTGCATTTGTTGATTTTCTGCTCAGTGGGGTAGTATACATGCCAATACTCCCCTTAATAATGTGCACCAGTTGATTGCTCACAGCTCGTCATATCCGCCATGTGTGTGGAGCAATCGGATCAGGTACCACACATGACGGACCTGCAAAACAGATTAAGTGTGTTTTGGTACCCACCTCCAGATGGGTCCATCCTTATTAGTGGTGAAGAGCTGTTTTAATTTTTGTTTGATGTGGGAACCTAAGCCAGCTGATTGAGAAGGATTTGACGTTCTTAGTTTCTCAGCTTCGGCCTTAGGAACCCATTGTTGTTTGAACTTTGGAGCGAGAGAGATTTCGTTAACAGTGAGTGAATGTTCAGACAGATGATCTTTTAAAATTGTTTCCTGAGAGAGCCTTCTCAAATGTTTAAGTGAGCGAACCTTGAGGGGATACCTTAAACACGGCAATTTGTACTCTCCCTCAAAGTTCACCTTCACAGCAGTTGATTTCTTTGGGCATCTCTGAACATTCACATTCTTATCTTTGATGGAGGAGGAAGCAGGCTCAAAACAGCAAACTTTCATTGGCTTAACACAATTCAGAGAACAAGTACTAGAGTAGCGATTCTTGACAGATGTCTTAGAACTAGAAAACTTAGGAGCCACTCTTTTAGCATTACTAGTCGAGGATTCGCTTAGGAAATTCCTAGGAACACCACTTCTAGTATTACTAGTTGAAAGCTCACTAATGCCAGATCTAGACTTATTCTTTACGTAAAACAAAGCACTCGAACGTCGATTCTTATTTCCTAGATGAGATTCTTCTTGTTTCTTCCTCCTTCTTAACTTCTCCTCGATCCACTCTCCTCTCTTCTCAACTCTCTTCTTCACATGGTTTCCGGTCTGAGAAGGAGGCTCAGAGTGAGTGGAAGAAGTTTTAGAACTGTTTGTTGAATTTTCTAAACATTTTTCTGAGGAAGAGAGGGAAGAAGGTTGAGAAACTGTGATGGATTGAGAGGATGTTTTTAACATGGATATCTCTTTCAAAAGTTGATCTTTTTCTTTTTCTAAAACTTGTTTCTCCTTTTCAAAAGATTCTTTTAACTCAGCAAACTTTCTCACAAGAGGTGGAATGTATGCTGGTTTGACTACAGGTTCTGAAGTTGAAGGTTCCTCTCCGTCTTGCACAGATTCCTTTTTAGGAGCATAAGTTATGACTTCATCAACAGGTGTTAGCGGGGGTTCTTTGGTTTTGTAACTCTTGTTCAACTCTGTGTAGTCAAAAGGAACCTCGACACCAGCCTTTGTCTTTCTCTTTTCGTCCTCGAGGGCATTCGTTTCTTCAGCTCCAGTGAAGGCCATGAGTTTGGTCAATCCTATTTTCATGTATCTAACATCATAGAGTTGTCTACAGTTAACCTTTTTCAGGTTCTGAGGATTGGTCAAACCCAGGCCCTCCTTGGCGTTATAGAAACGAGTGTCCTTAGGCTGGTTAAGGAAAATAGTCTGGTCTGTTTGGTCCCTCTTGGCTAACAGGTCTTCGAGTTCTTTAATCTTAGTGTAAAGAGCACCCCTTCTTTCCATAAGTAAATTATTGACACCAAAAAGTCTAATTCTCTCTTTCTCAGCTGTTCTAAGCTTCTCTGTCAGTTCTTTTTCGCTAGCACTAAGTCTCTTATTTTCAGTTGTGAGCTTAGTGATGATTTTCTCTGAATTGATACGTAGTCTGTTATACACACTAAATCCCGTATTAAATTTTTCTTCAAGCTCCTTAATTCTATCGTGTGGGTCAGTTCTAGAGCAAGTATAAGTAAAAGGATTAGAAGTGCTTACAGCGCTGTCTGCATTCTTGTTTTTAGCAGAGAGGGCAGTCACTTTATCAGCAGCGGTTGGGGTAGTCATGATTGATTGTTGAATGTTGATCGTTGACGTGTGGTTGATTGAAGTTTTTCTGCAGGTTAGTGGCTCTTGAAAATGTAGCTTTGACTTTGAAAAAATTTAGTCTTAACCTTGAGATTTTTTGATTTTTTTTTTTTGATTTTTTTTTTTTTTTTTTTTTAAACTCAAGGTTGACTATTTGAAGCTTTGACAAAGTGTAGACCTTTGGTTTTGGAGTTTGACCACAAGGTTTGAATTGGGCTCAAAATTAGCTCTTGAAGTGGGTAAGTGCAAAAAGTGTACTCTTCCAAGGGAAGGGAAAAATAAGCTTGTTAACTTATCCCACACCTAAACTCCAAGAGACTTTTGGAGCCTATATATATGGAGCACCCTTTCCTTAAGATTAAATGGTGTAGGAGAAGAGGGGAGCTCTCGCGCACATGGGATTTCGGCTTCAAGTTCAAAACTGAAAATTCGCACCCCCCCTGCGCGGGCGACCTGCGGGCACGATAGCCGCAAAATTTGCCGGGTCTCAAAAGACAGTTTTGCCCCTCCTTCCTTTGTTTTTTTTTTTTTAACTTTAATTTGCTCCCGGTGTTGTACTAAGTTTGCGCAAGTAAGGAATTGGGCATGGCAAACAAAATCGCGCAAGAGGTGAGGTTCGGATCAGAGAGGAATCGCGCAACAGCAGCGAACTTCAGATCGCGCAAGGAATTGCGCTCCTAGATCGCGCAAAGGGAAAATCGCGCAACAGAGGAAGATCAAATCGCGCAACGACTAAGATCGCGCAAGTCTGATTCGCACCTGGATCGCGCAACAACAAAGAAAATCTCGCAACTGGAGAATCGCGCAGGTCATTTAGCTACAGAAGATCGCGAATCGCGCAGGTCATTTAGCTACAGAAGATCGCGCAAGTCCTGTTTTTGCGCAACTAAACTTCGCTCGTCTTCGCGCAAGGAGTAGATCGAGCAGGAGTTCGCTCAAAGCCAAACCGCTCAAGTAGAATTGCGCGATTTTTCAGGATCGCTCAACTCCTGAAAAAGATGCGCGAAGATGCAGGATCGCTCAACTCCTGCTTAACCTGTACGCCAAAGTTCTGGATGCGATTTTTCACAGAATGAATCCTTGCAATCCTAGAAACACTTTCCTGTAAACATTTTCCTGCATAAATAACAACAAAAATAGAACAAAAGATCGCTCAACAAGCAAAAACTTCGTCGATGAGTTTCGCGCAAGAGTTTTCTTCTGTCTTCAATCGATCGATAAATTTGCAGAAACTTCAATCGGTCACACGCTCGGCTCTGATACCAGTTGTTGGTCCCTATTTCTACTCTATAATGTATAAGATCTGATTAATAGGAGTAGAAGAAGCTTTCCATTGATAGCCAGAAAGTTTATGAAGAATATGTAGCGTAAAACTTCCGTAGGCTTCTATTCTATGCGCAGGGAATTTTTCTAAGGGAGGAAAGCTTAACCTAGCCATTCCTAAGGGGTCTATTTATAGCCTCCTTAGAATGGTAGGTTTTACAATGATATGGGCTCTCCTTTTTAGGAGGCCCATTCCTAATTTAGCTTAGTAGCCTTTTTCATTTAAGGCCTATTAAATACACAATAAATACTACCAAGAGGCTAGATAAAATACATTGATCACAACACTAAAAATATCTCTAACAGGTCGATTCCTTGATTTTAAAATGGTGGATTCGAAGACGGTCTTGAGTCAAATTGAGGAGATGCAAATGATCTTCAACGAAATTCGAGATGAAGGAATGACAGTTAGTGAGTCGTTCCAAGTGGCGTCAATTATTCATTTATTGCTGCCGGCTTGGAAGGATTTCAAGAACTACCTTAAGCATAAGCGAAAGGAAATGAACTTGGAGCAATTGATCCTCCGTCTGCGGATTGAAGAGGATAATCGGAAGAACGATGGGAAACTCCCAATTGTTCACGGCGCCAAGGCCAACGTGGTGGAGCATGCAAAAGGCTCCAAAAATAAAAATAATGGGAAGAGCAAGCTCGGTCCCAAGGGAGGCGTTTCCAAGACAAAGTTCAACGGAAAATGCTTCAATTGCAACAAGAACGGACACAAGTCCTCGAATTGCAAGGCACCAAGGAAGAAGAAAGACTCCCAAGTCAACTTTTAACATGGAACACATTCCTAAATTCACAATTGATGTGAAGCACAAATGTGATATTTGTGTTGAGGCAAAACTAACGAAAACGTCTTTCAAATCGGTTGAAAGAAAAACGGAACCACTAGAATTAATTCATAGTGACGTTTGTGATTTTAAATCAATACAAACACGTGGCGGTAATAAATATTTTATTACTTTTATCGATGATAGCACTCGCTATAGCTATGTTTATTTGTTGAAAAATAAACACGAAGCAATCGATAAATTCATTCTTTATAAGAATGAACTGAAAAACCAACTTAATCGACGGATTAAAACGGTTAGGAGTGATCGAGGTGGTGAGTATGAAGCACCAATTGGTGACTTTTGCGCTAGTGTGGGTATAGTACACAAACATACCGCACCCTATTCACCTCAATCAAACGGTGTTGCCGAACGAAAGAATCGCACATTGAAAGATATGATGAATGCGATGCTTGTAAGTTCGGGCCTGCCACAAAATATGTGGGGCGAAGCAATCTTGACAAGCAATTACCTTTTAAATAAGGTTCCCTGGAGAAAAATATGATAAAACTCCGTATGAGTTGTGGAAAGGCAGACGGCCTTCCTATCAATATTTAAAAGTGTGGGGGTGTCTTGCTAAGGTGCTTGTACCGACACCAAAGAAAATAAAAATAGGTCCAAAAACGGTGAATTGTATTTTTATTGGGTATGCACAAAATAGTAGTGCTTACTGGTTTTTAGTGTACGATTCGAATAATCCGAATGTACATAAAAACACAATAATTGAGTCAAGGAATGCATCATTCTTTAAAGACGTATTTCCATGCAAGTCCAACGAAGGACCTAGCACGTCAAAACGAACATTTGACGTAGCTATGGAAAATACTAGCGAGTGATCCGGTGAAGAACCCGAACCGGCAAACGTGCTAGAGTTGAAAAATCCTTCGGACCGGATTTTCTCACATACTTGGTGGAATTCGATTCTAATATTCTAACTTGTATGGTAGAAAATGAACCGGATTTTCTAACATGTTTGGTAGAAAATGAGCCACGGACTTATACGGAAGCCGTGACGTCTACCGAAGGACCAATGTGGAAAGAAGCCATCAAAAGTGAGGTGGACTCTATCCTAAAAAATCACACATGGGAATTGGTTGATCTCCCTCAGGGATGTAAACCTTTGAGATCCAAGTGGATTTTTAAACGTAAAATGAAACCGGACGATTCCATTGAAAAGTATAAGGCTAGACTTGTAATCAAAGGATACAAGCAACGTGAAGGCCATGATTACTTTGACACGTATTCTCCTGTGACGAGAATAAATTCCACTAGGATGATACTAGCGATTGCCGCTTTGCGGAATTTGGAAGTTCATCAAATGGACGTAAAAATCGCTTTTCTAAACGGCGATATAGACGAAGAAATCTATATGGAACAACCCGAGGGTTTTCGTGTTCCAGGCCAAGAAAAGAAGGTTTGTAAATTAATTAAATCATTGTATGGATTGAAACAAGCCCCTAAACAGTGGCACGAAAAGTTCGATCATGCAATGTTAATTAATGGGTTTAAAATAAACGAAAGTGACAAATGCGTCTATGTGAAAAGCACGGTAGACGGCTATGTCATTTTATGTTTATACGTGGATGATATACTCATCGTGGGTAGTAATAATCTAATGATTAATTCTACCAAAAGCATGTTAAATTCTAAATTTGACATGAAGGATATGGGGCTGGCCGATTTAATCCTTGGGATTAAAATAATTAGAGGACCTGATGGCCTGACGCTAAGCCAATCCCATTACGTTGATAAAATCCTTAATAAATTTAATAAGGATGATTATCAAGAGGCAAGGACGCCATTAGATAAAAACGTACACCTGACCAAAAATCGTGGAGAGTGTATTTCTCAAATAGAATACGCTAGGATTATTGGCAGTTTAATGTATCTAATGAGTTGTACCAGGCCTGATACTGCCTTTGTGGTTAGTAAGCTAAGTAGATATACTAGCAACCCCGGTGATGAACACTGGAAGGCAATAGTAAGAGTTTTTAGGTACTTACGAAAAACCCAAAATCTTGGACTGCACTATGGAAGATATCCAGCTGTACTCGAAGGGTATAGCGACGCTAGTTGGATATCTGACATTAAGGACTCAAAGTCCACAAGTGGATATGTTTTCACTTTGGCAGGTGCAGCCGTGTCATGGAAATCCTCGAAACAAACGTTAATAGCTAGATCCACAATGGAATCTGAGCTAATAGCCTTGGATAAGTGCACTGAAGAGGCTGAATGGCTACGCCATTTTCTCGAGGACATTCCAAGTTGGGAGAAGCCTGTCCCTCCAATATGCATACATTGCGATTGTCAGGCAGCAATTGGAAGGGCACAGAGCAATCTCTATAATGGTAAGTCTAGACACGTTCGTCGTAGACATAACACCATTAAACAACTCCTCACAACGGGTGTTATCACTGTTGACTACGTAAAGTCAAAGGATAACATAGCGGATCCGCTAACCAAGGCATTGGCTAGAGAATTGTTGGAGAAGTTGTCACGAGGAATGGGATTAAAGCCCGTGAATTGAAAAGTTCTATAGTGGATACCCAACCTAGTTGGTCCTAGGTTCAAATGGGAGAATTAAATTATAGAGCGAAGGATGGTCATTGTGGGGGTCCCGGACTCCTACCCACTCCTCGTTGAAACAGTGACTCCCGCACGAGGTTAGCAAAAACGTTTGCTTTAATGATTCTAAAAATGTTGATCTACTCGATAACATTGGAAGAGTATGCGGGATACTCGTGAAAGAATCACCTATGTGAGAGAGAAGAGGGCCGCTTCAAAGGAGAACTGTAAACGCCCAGTTCTTTAGAAACTCTTGCAGAACCAAGACGGTGACCCATGGCCAAAACGGGCACACCCATGAGAACGGAACAAAATTGGAAGGTTCTTGTGTAAAGATAAGTCAATGTTTACACGACGGCAGTATAGTTCAAGGACATCGAGTCTACTAGACAGCCAGTAAATAAACACGTCTTTACAGCGGAAGGTTCAAAGGATTAAACCTACCTCTCCGTGTGCAGGGATCATCCGGTGAACACAACGTGTCCTCCTATCTTCATGTCTTTTTTAAGTCTCGAAAATCAATTTTCATTCATCTGGGGGATTGTTGGAAAATGTGTTAGTAAATTGCATTAAATGGTCATTTTGGGGCAATTTTTTGAGTGGGGTCCACTTCCGATTTGGGTCGGGTCAAAGTGGTTTCGGATTGTCCTTGTTAAGGGCTACAATTCGATACGTGGTACACTCAAAACGGATAACGGGTGAATGAGATATCGATTTTCGAAGTTTACCCGTTGAAATGGAGCAGCAGCCGGCTGCTCCAGCAGCCCACTGTCGGCAGGACAGTCCGCAGCAGCCTGCTGTCGGCAGGACAGTCCGCAGCAGCCTGCTGCTGAGACGTCTTCCGCAGCCTACTACTGGGACGTTACAACGCCATAAATGTTCAACGTTCTTTTGCAATAAATGGACGGTTTTCTGGACTAGAATCAATGCCAACGTGCTGGACATTGATTACCAACGTTCATATCCATTAAACCTCCATTAAACACACAACAAATCTTCCCTATAAATGGCTGCAGGTGGTTTGCAACAATACACAACACACAATACGAACTTCACGTGTTTTCTAGATCAAATACACCTCCAGTCACTCTGAAAAATTCCTAAGTGTTCTTACTTTGTTCACGTTCGTTGGAACTTTAGTTTGAGTGCTAAACTATTGTTCGAAGTCATCGTATCCTGGGAAACGATCGTTGCAACGCTCCTAGCACCCCGGGAGGCAACGAATACATTTTAAGGAAATCGTGCGTAGCACGAGCTTTGACTTATTCTGCTTCATCTCATTTCTTGGTTTTCCTTTAAGTCATTTTATTTAATTTAATTAATTTTATTAATTATTTTCTTAGTTTTTCGAAACACACCCAACACAAATTAAATACATTCTCACCAATTTAACATACCCAGCAATCTAACATTCTCATGGTAACATGACATTCCTTGAATCAAACGAGCCCTAAATGTTTCCATCTCCTCTTCTCTATCCTATCATTTTTAGACTTTTCTTTACTTCCACAAAATTCCCCTCCTTTTCTTGTCCTCTATTATCCCACCTTTCTCATACTCACATCTCCTTACCTACTTTCTATTTTCATTTTTTTCAAATCACATGTAAATTGGTCACACTGACAATTACAACATTGGTTTACACATTTACGGGCAACTATTATCTTAGTGTGAAAATTTCATCACAAAACACAAATTTTATTCACACAAACAATCAAATTTGATCACATAAACAACAGTTGTTTGTGAGCAATGTTGATTTGCATGCATATAAACAACTATTGACTGTACACACAAACAATGGTTTGCACACCACATACATTTATATGTCAGTCTACTTTTGGCGCTAAAACCAATGTTTGGGAACATACATCATGATTTCGGAACTTAACGTTTTATGGATAATTTTTGCAACACCGACGATAATGCAATTTTATTTTTTTGAGCCACCCTTAAGCTTCTTATTTCAAATGCATCTATTTCAAGTTATCACTTTGAATTCAACTATTCTGTCTAAGTTAGTTTCTAATTCAAACAAGGTCCCCTATTTATATATTACAGTCAACATTACCCCGCTCCATTAAGTTCACCTTTTGAATTGTACAAGTAATGAGGTCCATTTTTGCAACAATCCAACAAGATCTTTGAAAACCTCTAGACATGATTGTGAACTAACACTTTCACACACACACATTTGTTTAGATAAGAAGTAGATTGTATAGAGATGTGTGAGTGAATTAATGCATTCAATTCGAGATATAAGAGTTCTAAATTTGGGTGGCTTGTGCAGATAATTGTAGAAATCCCTTACTTTGACACCATCACCAAATAGTTTATTATTCTTTTTTTTAATTGTATTAATAAAAAGTTAAGCATGTATAGATAAATCGAAATTGCATACTTGAGCATCATTCATGTACTAAATGTCATTTATAATGTAAATGATGTTTTAATTTTTGTGTCTAACATGAAGCGCTTTTATATATGCTTTAACTTTCGTTCATATACTGTTTATAGTACCAGGAAAGTGTTATTTATATACAAAAATGTTTACAATTTTGAACATTTTTCCTCAAAAAAACATGTTACTCCCAATGACATTCCAACACTTTGTATGAGGTTTGAGGTGCTGATGATTTGTTTGATGAATAAATAATTTGTATGAGGTTTGAGTTAGACCATATAATGACTCATCTTTAAGTTTTGTGACAGACATTGTTGGGAGCAGGTAGCGATACAACTGTAACTTCATTGACATGGGCTTTGTCTTTGGTCTTGAATAATGAGGATGTGTTGGAAAAGATCCGAGATGAGTTGGACATGCATGTAGGAAAAGAAAGGCTAGTCAATGATTCTGATATAAACAATTTGACTTATCTTCAAAACGTGGCCAAAGAAACATTACGTTTGTATCCAGCAGGACCTCTCTTGGTACCCCATGAGGCTCAACAAGATTGCATAATAAACAAGTACCATGTTTTCAAGGGCACACGTTTATTGATAAATGCTTCAAAGATCCATCGTGACCCAAGCTATTGGACGAATCCTGATATATTCAAACCAGAGAGATTCTTGACAAATCAACATAACGAAATTGATGTGAGAGGCAAACACTTTGAACTACTTCCCTTTGGAAGTGGAAGGAGAATATGTCCTGCGATTTCTTTTGCCCTTGAAACTGTGCAATTAGGATTGGCTAACATTATTCAGGGGTTTGATGTGAGAAGACCTTCAAGTGACCTCATTGACATGTCTGAAGCGATTGGACTAAGTGTCACAAAAGTGACTCCCCTACAAGTTCTCATCACTCCACGATTGCCTTTTCATCTCTATCTTTGACAAAGTTTCATAATCTACAATAATGATAAACTAAATGAAATTACTAAAAACGGAGTACACCTAGTTTAGCATGAGCATTAAGTTTGCTTTTGATTGATTTGATGTAAAATAAGTATTTGCATGCATGACAATATAATGTAAGCTTTGTGTGTGAGTGCATAATCAAGCAAAATCACATGGGAAAGAAAATATGACTATTATATTTTGTCTTTGAATATCTATGTAGGACCTCATTCAATTCGTAACAAGTTTTGGCTAGAAAATATGAATCGGTTTATTTACCCAATAGTTATCACATTTAGGTTAGATGTAGTGAGAAGTGATCAGGTCCAGCCGGAGGGACGGGAAGCACTGTCCGAACTCCGCCGTTTGGGGCGGTTCCCGGTAGAATTTTTTGATGAAATTTTTTGAGCATGTTCGTCATCAAGTCTAGTTTGTCCATACCAAATTTCAGCTCAAAATTCGATCGGGAAGGTTGTCAAATGATTTTTGCAAGTTAACTGGTCCGGAAAATACATATTCCGGACCAGTTAACTTGCAAAAATCATTTGACGACCTTCCCGATCGAATTTTGAGCTGAAATTTGGTATGGACAAACTAGACTTGATGAAGAACATGCTCAAAAAATTTCATCAAAAAATTCCACCGGGAACCGCCCCAAACGGCGGAGTTCGGACGGCGGCTGGACCGGGGAGGGCTGGACCTGATCTTTCTTGTAGATGTAGTTACTAACATCAACGGGTATATAGTAGACGTGCATCCGAACGAGTGACAAGATCTTATGATTATTATGTAATGTACTTGTATATTTATAATTTATAAGGAAATAAAAGTTTGGAAATACATAACATCTAATTAACCACAAAATAACTAGTTTGCTTGATTAGCAGATTATGTTGTACTACTTGTACGACATGGGTGATAAATGGCCCCTCTTGACATACACGTTTAAAAATTAGAGTTACTAAGTAAAATTCTAATTTATCATTGCAATTTCAAAATTAAACTCTCTAATAAGAGAAACAAAAATAAAGTTGTAATGTATGATTGTTATTATAATGGAATTAGTTAAGATGCAAAACAATGCAAATGGGAGATTAGGTTTATGCTTTCCTAATAATTATCAGCTTCTACATGCATTGAAATTTACATGCGACTTGAGTAGCAGACTTGAGACACGCGTTTTTTTTTTTATAAAATTAAAAAGACTAAATGTGGAGTTCAAATGCTTGTAGCATATAAATAGACAATATTATTCACATATGACCATCATCATGTGTAGTTATAGTTGTTTGAAAATTTACATGATTGTTCAATAAGAAAAGAAACTTATATAATAAAGGCTTTGAAAAACTTCCTTGAAGACAACATTTGTAGAGGTGTCTAATGATTTTCCTTCTTTTTCATGTATTAAAACTGTAAACCCTTTTTTACTTTGAATGAATGATAATGTCTTGTTTACTGGTCCATGACTAAAAATTGGTATAGACAAACATTCTTTGATATTTTTCAATAGCCGACCTTAAGATTTGTTGATTGTCATGGCATACAATACAATAAAATAATAAAAAAATGTATTTTAGTAAGTTTAAAAGACCGTGTTATTTGAGGATTCATACCCAAGCAGGGACTATAAATCTCATTCCCAGTGTTGTTATCAGACATTGTATTTGCTCCAAAAATATGATTTCCTAATATCACGACAATTACTTTAATTAAGTTGCACAATCCTTTAGAGTGATCTATATTTTATAACAACACGTCATTTGATTTTAATTGTTACATAGGAAGCCCTAATGTTCTCACCATGTAAAATTCATGTGTTAGTGCGAGTACTTCAACAACATTTGCTTTGTCTATAGAGTTAACCAAATTTCTCTTTTGGGGACTAAAATTATAAACTTGTATTGACTTGAGGCATTAACATACTCTCTTCATCCCGCTAAAATGGGTTTACCTTCCTTTTTGATTCGTCCCACTAAAATTGTTTTATACCAGATTTGATAAAGTGTGTGTGGTTCCAAGTCATTCTTACTTTACTTTTGCTTTATCAATTCAATATCAACAACATAAATTACTTTTCTTAATAACCGCACCCCTTCCTATGACTGAATATTAGTGGGACGGATGTAGTATCATTTCTGTGGAAGTTGGGAATTAAATTTGTACTCCCTCTGTCCCGAAAAGATTCACCAAAATGACTTTTCTTGATCAATGTCAATCAACTTTGATTAATGGTATTTCTTAATACGAAATTATTTTGAATATGAAATTATATCAAAATGTTCCTTATTCAAATTATTTTCATAAAAGTATAAGTTTATAATAAATTATATACAAATATACTCCCTCTGTCCCACAATTAAGTTCCCACTTCCACTTTTTCGGTAAAGCATTATAAACTTTGACGACTAATTATTCAAAATTTACATTACTTTATCACACAAAATTAATTTTATGTAGTTCATTTCAATATATACTACTCAAATGTTAATTCATTATAGGTTTTATAAGTATAGTTTTTTTTAGATATTTAGAGGCAAATTTCCACCTAGAAGATCGTAAAAGTCAAACTAGGAACTTAATTGCGGGACAGATGGAGTAATAATTAAAATCATTGTTCAAAATTTACTATCATTGACAAAAAAAATCAATATGACGAACTTTTTCGAGATATAGTATATAATAATCAACCTAGGAGGAGTTGATGTCAAGAAGCCCCTCTCTTTATCTGATGTCCCCAAAGGGACAGAAGCCCCACTCTTTAAAACTTCCACATTTATGTATTGCTCAAGCATCTTAGGGTATGTACTTTGAGCAATATCACATATTGAATCATCAAACTATGTTATCACATATAGCAAACTATGTAGCACCGATACCGGTACGCGGAAACGCGAAAACGGGTACAGGGATACGTCAAAACCAAAAAAAGTAGGATACGGATATGGGGTCATATTTATAAATATTAAAAGTTATGGGAGTGTATTTACAAATATTAAAAGTTATAGGGGTCTATTTATAAATATTAAAAATAGATTTTTTTGAATATATATATATATATATATATATATATATATATATAGGGAACTCTTCCGGTAAGGTATACCTTACCGGAGCCGCCGTGCGGCCTCCACGTTTTGAGGGTCCTCCCGGTGGAATTTTTTGATGAAATGTTTTGAGCATGTTCTTCATCAAGTCTAGTACAACCATACCAAATTTCAGCAAAAAATTAAATCGGGAAGGCAATCAAATGATTTTTGGAAGATAACTGCAACCTTTATATACATATAAAACGCAGTTATCTTCCAAAAATCGTTTGACTGCCTTCCCGATTGCATTTTTTGCTGAAATTTGGTATGGATGTACTAGACTTGATGAAGAACATGCTCAAAAAATTTCATCAAAATTTTTTTGAGACAAAAGGGGGACGAGGGGATGCAACACGAGGACTTCCCAGGGGGTCACCCATCGACTCCATATACATATATATATATATATATATATATATATATATATAGATTTAGGTTCATGTGAGAACTTAATCTTAGGAGAGTAAAAAAGAATAGATGTGAGCCATTGGATTTTGAAACTCTTCAATATTTCATTAAGGGTATATAAGAGAATTTGACACCACATTAAAAACTACACGGTTGATTACTTCCCTACAATCTTGCTAATATTTCCTTAACTATCTCCCTATAATTTTGCATAGCCAATCATGAATCATCCAATTTCTTTTAATTTGCTTTACGGTTCTCATTTTTTTTTTATCAAATTAGTTTTATTCAATCAAAATAAATTCTTTTATCTCATTTAATTCTTTCTTACCTTCATATGATCAAAAAAATTCTTTCTTACCTTCATTATTCTCAAGATGTGTGTTACGGAGAAGACATTCCTTTTCATATTTTGTTAAAATGCTCGGTCATTTCATCACCTTATGTTTAAATATGTCTTCTTTTTTATGTTTAAATGCATTTTCATATATTATTTATCCTCTAGATATTATTAAAAATTGCACTAACACAACTATATATATTGCACCTTTTAAGTATCATAACTGCACCACATGTCTATGTATATTTTTTTAGAAAGTGTGTGAGAATAATGCAGTTTTATAAATATTTAAATGCACATGTTTAAAGTGTGATATAGTAATGCACTTTTATATATACTTAAATGAACATAATAGTATATCATTGTAGTTTTACACCCACGTTTATTTATTTTCATTTTTTTATGATTTCGATTATTTTTATTATTTCAAAAGAAAAGTGCATTTCATTTTGTATAAGCGTCAATGTAAACTTTCGGAAAAGTGTGATATACTAATGCACTTTTTTGTATACTTAGTGCACATGATAAAAAATGCATTTTATGTTGTAAAAGAGTGTCAGTGTATAAGTTTAGAAAGTATGATGTAATAGTGCACATTTGTCTTATTCTAAATGCACGTAGTTGATAGTTTATTGTATATTTATATTAGTTTTTTTTGCAAAAATGTATGGATGTGTCGAACTAAAATGTTCTAAAAGTGCAAAATAATAACATTAAAGTGTAATTTACAATACTCCAAATTAACCTAATAAACTTGTATTTCCCTGTAGGTTGCAAAAATATCTAAATATCTAATTAAATTGATGTTACAATATGTTCAAATACAAGTGCAAGTATTCAATATTTAAGTGCAAATACACAAAATTAAGTACATGAAATATTGCCTCTGAAAAGACAATTAGACGTGAAAAATGCACAATTTGAATAATTTTTTTATATCAAATTACTCATCCGAATTATATGTGAGATAATACTAAATTTATTTTGGAAAGGAAATTAAAATAATAGAATATATAAGAGGGAGGTACGTTACTCCCTATTAATTATTAGCCTACTTTTTAGGATGAATTCCTATTATAGTGCTGCATACGTATTAATGCTTGAATGAAATTTACTATGATGTCCCTTATTTAATTTTCAGTTGGAGAGTTGCCATATATGAGAGCCTAATGATCCGAAGCTAGCAATAATTTTGAAAAATGCTAAGCCATTAGATCAAGTTAATTAAAGGTTCGATTACATTATTCAATGCTCAGATTTTAATCTTTTTCCCTCTCCTAAAAGGGTGTTCTCACAGGATCTACTCCCTATATATATATATATATATATATATATATATATATATAATTCAGAATATTTCTCATATACACTAGTGTATCTCGAAATATAAATGTACGCAATAAGTCATTAATTTAAAATGAGAAATAAGTCTAAC